TCACCTTTATAATCAAGTTGAATGCAGATTGGCTTTTTCTTCACTGTGATTTGTTTGACATTTAAGACTTCAGATCTTCCGTCCTTGTTTTTGAATCTTTGAGGGTAACCATAATAATATATATATATATATATTATTGTGTGCATATATTGATTGAGTGATTTCTGTTTAAAAATGAACTCTGTGTGCAAGTATGTTAAAATTGTTTCTGTAGATATACTTCTTAATAATGACTTTGGCCTGTAAGCAGCTGATGAGAAGCCAACGAAATAAACAATGATGGTACCATATTATTCTGCAAAAACCACTATTGTTCTTGCTTTATTCAAATTTGAACTAAAGCGTATAATAGAACCGGTTAGAAATAATGAAATCCGTGGGAACGGAGGAGAACGAGTGGAGGGGGTAAGGAGAATTTGGCGCCGGAATAGAAAATAAACTTGAATCGTAGGCAACCTATAAATATTAAATAATGAATCATTGAAAACGACCAGAAGAAAATAAAGAATAAATAAATAAATTGACAGAATGAATTTTCACATTGTCTCTTTTTAAAAAAATTATCTTTGTCTATTTATGTTTTTATTTGTCTGTGCGCCAACCAGTTTATTATCGATCTAGTTCAATGTGTTCAATGCATTTAATGTGTTCAATGTGTGTGTACAAAGACTGATTATGAATTAATTTGATGAATACAAATGCAACCTTTATAGATAAAGTTAAATAAAGCATTCAGACAATAAATATTTTGAGGAGGGGATAGATACTATTTGAGAGTTTGTCTGCTATTGCGTTACATCTAGTTAGAGAGGTGGAGGATCACTTTTGACATGAATGATAACCAATCGCACAGATTTTTAATAAGTCAGTTAATTCAGGTGAAGAAAATTGTTGGAATTTATTGTCTTTTTAGAAATCATGTCGACTGTAACTGCACAACTTTGAAACATAATCTCACATTCGTTTTAGCCATCATAGAGCTAATAAGTTTGAAAAGAATGGATACTGAACAAAGAGTACTCTTTTCGATAAATTCATCATCAGGTTCTACAATTATATATACATTGTAGTGAATGAATGAATTAGTGTTATGAACAACATTAATGTTGTTTAAATAACATCGAATCAATAATAATAATAATATAAATAGATTTCAGTTCGATAGGAATAACATAACACTGCACTGAACATCTGACAGAGAAATTAGGAAAGATAAAAATACAAATTCATGAATTTATAGTCTCCACTGAAGGCCAGTGCTGGGCAGTAGTAGTGGCTGGTTGTACTTGCTTCTTCTGCACACAAATCGTGTTGGCTTCTGTTGTTTGCAGCATGCGGTACTTCGATATTTTTGGCACCCGGTAGATTACAGAGAAGGATTCTTCCACACTGGCTTGCTTTGTGGCCGGTTTGCACCAGATGGTCCAATATCGAACTGTTAATGGTTTTAACTACACCTTTACTTAGCCATAGTGGGATATGTTCTCGAGCACGAAAAATCAAGTTCCTGGAGCAACGGCCAATATAACTCGCCCCACAAGCGCAGTTGAGTTGGTAGATACAATTTGAAGTGGCTACCTGATCTAGGTACTTCATCTTTCAGTCGAGGTAGCACAATCGGTCGTGTAGAGAATATGACGTGTAGTTCGCCAGCAGTAAAAGTTCTTTGAACTGATTTTCTTAATTTCCTCGTGATTATCTCACTTGGAATATCGCCCTTGAATTGCAGTCGTATATTTTAAGGCTTCTTGTTTACAGACAGTGAGTAGTCCTTTTCCACTTTCTTTGTCATGTGTTTCTTGATAAATTTGTCAGGATAACCATTTTCGATCAAATTATCATATACAATGCTTAATTCATCTTTAATTACTTCTTCTGAGCATATAGCTCTAACTCTGTGGCTGAGGGTCTTCACTAAATTTCTTTTGTACTTGATAGGAACAAAGCTGGAAAAATGTGTGTATATTGTCCTGTCCATGTACTTTTTCTATGCAAATTTCTTTTTGTGCTACCGTCTAGTTTTCTTGTAAGGAGGAAATCCAGGAGGGCAATTCTGTCTTGGGATTCCTCTTCGCACGTGAATTTCATAGCCGAATGTACTTCATTGAAGTTTGATTACTTATATGAATGATAGACAGGTGATTGTTCAGTCTTCAGTCCTCAAACTCTTTAACTCTATCTTTTCCTGTTTACAAGCAAACAGTGATGGGCTTATATCGAAGCAGTAAGTGTGGCTGAATGTGTTGTGTTCACACTGGCTGATCTTGAATTGATATTCTCTGTATTCTTCATAAGCTCACTTATTTCCTAACTAATTATCTGTTATGAGGAAACGATAAGTTAGGCGTCAGTCACTTCAGTGAGTGCCATGGAGGAGACTGTGTGAAGAACAGATAAGAGCCTATGGGAGATTGTGGAGTAAGCTAAAGGCAGCTAGAGGAAACAAGATGAAAGGGAGATATCCTCTTCAAACCCTCTGTTCCACTTGAAACCTAAGAGAATAATTTTGATGATCTTGGTTAGCAAAAGGCATGTTCGTAACTACAGGAGGAACGGACGAGGATGTCAAATCGAGAATCGGAAAGGCGAGAAACACATTCATCAACCTGAAACCAATCTGGAAATCTTCGTCACTCAGCCTGCATCAACAACAAAATGATTCAGATTTTCAATACAAACGTCAAGTCAGTCAGTTCTTCTTCTCTACGGATCAGAAACTTGGCGGGTCACAAAGAATGTATTTCCAACAGCCTGTTGCAGACCTTTATCAACAACTGTCTTTGCTCTATATACTGAAGATCAGATGGCCGGAAAGAATCACCAACAAGACACTATGGGAACAAACAAAACAAGAACCAATCGCTCAACAAATATGCAGGAGAAAGAAGTGGAGATGGATTGGACACTCGCTGAGGAGACTGCTGGGTGACATCGCACGTCAGGCCATTGCTCGAGTGGAACCCGAAAGGTAAGCGGCGAGTGAGATACCAAGGGTGACATGGAGGAGATCGTGTGAAGAGGAATTGAAACAGTATGGACTAACTTGGATGCAGGTGAAAAGTACAGCAGAAGACAGAAGCAAGTGGAGACGCTTAGTTGAAGCCCTATGTTCCACTAGGAACCCAAGGGAACAATAATAATAATAATAATAATGTTCGCATAATGAATAAATAGGTGGTATCCCTGAGGATGAATCAGTTTTTGCCAAGTTGCTGATAGTCTTTTCTTTAGATCACATGAAAGTATCGAAATGAAGTGCGTTGAATTTAATTATCCCAAGCGACTTCTACTGTCGGTATTCTGATTATTATTGTTCCCTTGGGTTCCAAGTGGAACATAGGCCTTCAACAACATATCCCCACTTTGTTCTATTTTCTGCTGTCCTCTTTATCTAAGTTCACACCTGTCCATAATCTCTCATCTCCTCCTCGCCACACGATCTCCTCCATGTCACACTCGTCGCTTCCCATAGGGATTCTAATCGAGCGATGGCGTGGCGCACAACGTCACTCGATGATCGCCTCGGTGTGTGCCCAATCCATCTCCACTTTCTCCTGCATAAATTTAAAACGTTAAGTTCTCGGTTAGTTCGTTCCCCATAGTCGCTTGTTGCTTAACCGTTCTGGCCATTTTGTCTTCAATATGGAGCCAGCAAAAGAGGTAGCTGTTGACAGAAATTTGTAGTAGCCTTTTGGAAATGCTTTTCGTGACGCTCACGACAAGTTTCTCACTCATATCTAGGAACTGTTGAATACATTCCAAATCTTGTTCCTTATGCTGGCTGAGTTCATAATATTTCCAAGCTGGTTTCAGGTTGATGAAAGCGTATCTTGCCTTTCCAATTTTGGCTTTGATATCTTCTTCCGTTTCCATTGTCTGTACGTGAAGCGATCTTTCCTAGATAAGTGCAGGAAGTAACCTCTTTCAATTCTCTCCTGCTGATGGTGATTGGTGCTGATAGTTGTTGTTGCTGTGGTTGGTTGGTTATCTTCATCACCTAAGTCTTCTCTATATTCACCTGCAGTCCTGCATCTTTAACCAGTTTGTTGGTTTTCGCTTGTAAGTCTTCGACTCTGTGTGACATTAAAGATAAATCTTCCACGCGCGAAATCCAGATCTTCTAGAGTCTTCATATAGGTCCAGCGTACTCCTGTTTTCTCACTCTCAACTCACAGTCTAACGCATAATCCAGTCCACCACAGTTAGGAATATCATCGGTGATAATATGCAGCCAGTCTTGTCTCACTCCTGTATTTCACTTCAGACGTTTCACTGGATTTTCCCTTGTGGATCACCTGGCTCGTGACATTGTCATGTAGCAAGCTGTTGAATGTGGTTGATAAATACTTGGGCACTACATACCGTAATGATGAAGCGGTTTCCAAATTAACTCGCGGTCAACGCTGTTGAAAGACTTCTCAAAGTCGATGAAGTTGAAGTAGGGAGAGATTTGACTGCCATTTTGTGGTTTTTTCTACGATGATGCTGTAGGTATTAACCAGAAATCACTTCAACCAGAGGTTCTGATTTCCTATCAATATATCTGAACCTAATTGATTAGCATCGGTTTTATATATGGAAGCTCCTTGAAACGACGCGTCTATATTAGCAGGACTAATATTTTGAACTTGCTTGATCGGTTGTCACTATCAGTGGGATCCTTGACACTTGTTTCTCTCTGTTTTTGAACCAGTGAATGCTGGTATTTAACTCGACCTCAATGCTCATCTCATCAAACTCCACAACGTTATCCACTAGGCCTCCGTTAGTAACCATCTATCAAATAACATGAAGCTTAATTCTCATACATCTTCGAAGTGTCTGTACTTTGAGCCGACATAACGGCACAGGGGACCGAAAACTTCTGTCAACAATAATCAATGAATGGGTATTACAAAATTAACTTTAACAAGTTAATTCTTTAACATTTTATGAAAAATTTCGCGTTTCTATCATCCGTTTTCCTTACCTCTTTGTTTTGTCTCTTTTCTAAAATTCAGATCTGAATATCAAACCGTCGGCGAAAACAAAAACCACTCACCCTCCAAACTCTCTGCCATCTAAAAAGTTCTCCAATAACAAAAATTTATCGGCTGATCCAAAAAAGTCAATAGATCCTTCAGCTCAGGTAGCGTTTAAATCAACCATCACTACAGGCAGTACAACAACAACAACTACTAGTACTACCTCAACTACAGTTACGACTTCTAGTCAACTTTATCAGACAATAATTTCTTCATCTTCCTCAGGAAGTCTATCACCATCTTCATCAGGCATACCAATGCCTCGTCAACTGAATTTTTATCAACACTCCAATAATATGCCATCCTCAGCCAATGTGCGGCCTAAAGATTCCCCAGTCAAAGTAATCGATCGTGCTCAGTATTTGAATTTTCCATCACACGGTCAAACCGTACAAGGGAACCACGTGATGAGCACTTATCCTGGAGGTTATGATAACAGTAACCATATGAATAAAATCGATAACAAATATTTAACTAATTTACCCAATTCCACCATGTGTTCAGATAATTTTGGTCATCAGTCACGAGTACTAAATCAATATCAGCACCAGCCACAACCACAACCACAAACTGTTCAAAAGTGTTATGCAAGTCCTATGAATTATGATCAATCGATGACGACAGCTTCGACATCTGTGGGTAAAGTTCAACTCACCAATCAATCAGTGACAATTGGTAACACCCCAAATCATCACTCCTTACCATCTTCAATGGGTCAACAGTCAAGTCATCCGTGTTACCTAGCGGGATCAACATTTCAAGAAAGACCAGCTCATCAAGTGACCAATCATCAGATGTCTTTTCCACCTTCACAACCACCTCCAGCACCACCCCCACCCCCTCCGCCTCCTCCTCATCACCAGCACCATCCACAACAGCTACGGCCACAAGAACTTCAATATCCAAGTCAAGCATTCAATCCAGGAAACGTTGGGGTAAGTTAATAATAACAGTAATCTTCAATTGTTGGTTTGCAGGGATTTGACTGGTTTCATCATGAGCTGACATCAGTTAGAGAACCGTTTGGAACCATTGATCCTGGTTTCGAATCCCGGTGGGCACGTACTGATGAGGAGTCCCGAAGTGGGACGAAACAGCTGTTCAGTACCTCAAGTTTTCCATTGGTTCTCTAACATATGTTACCTCATGATAAAGTCCTGAAATAATAGAACTGATGGTAATTTCAATGTGGATTTCCTCACAAACCACTATCAGTGAGACAGTGCATTGAAAAACCACAACCCAACCCAGGATAGAAGCCGTCACCTTTAGGTTACTTGATCAAACTTGTTTATCGTTCAGCCACTTGGGCTAGAATTCAATAACATGTGAATTCTGCCCTCGGCGATTCGTGATATGGCTCTGGCCTCAAACAATGCCATAGATGAGCATAGATGAAGAGTAACAAACTAAACGAAAACAGCTTTGCCGTGCTCTCTGATAGATTTCAATGATATCTCTAATTGATTTTGCTTTGTGTCAATAATACATATTGAAATCAATACAGATCCCTATAAAAATAACCCATAGTCTAAATATGAATTTCCAGCTAACTGGTGGCTAATGGAAGAATGTCCTTAAGCTGTACTGAGTCTTCATCACCAGCAAGTAGGTCCTCCATTATCATGTTGAAGTGAATTCTCATAGAAGGCACTGGTTGTTCAGTGTAGCGCCTTATCACAAATTGACAAATTTAGAATCTTTAAAACAATTAGTTCCCTTTATGAATTTAGTTAAACAAAGCAATAAGAAAGCGTAATTTGTCTGAATCGTTTGTGTAATGTATTTGCGCAACACATTTCGAACAATCTGATCACACACACTGACTTGTCATAGGAATATATTTGAAATTAATAAAGGGTTAAGAGGTGAGGAAATAGACTACTTAGGTCAAGTTAAAAGAACATATTGAAGGTCAAAATAACAATGAAGATCACTAAACCAAATAAAAGAGGTAATAGTACATCTACCCTGGTTGGTGTCAAAACAAAGTTTACCAAAGAAGGTGGTTTAGTGGGATGACGAATTCTTTTTGAACGCATAGAGGTGGCTTAAACTTTCTAAGTGCCAAATAGGGCTTCCAAAAACTTTAGGATACGCCCCAAACACATTTTCTAGATAGGTTTAAAAGATGTGCAAACTTTAATTTTATATCCTATCTCTATAATATGTTTCACAATAGAAGAGCTAGGTCTCTTGTTCTCACCGTTAATAGGTTCTGAATATTCCATTTGTTTCTGGAGCCATTTAGGAATATGCTGTGAAGCCAGCCCTTACTTTCAGAGATCGATGAGTCCTCCCTATGTATGTGGGATGTGACATCATTTCTCTCATGTTCAAAGGGCTTAGATGGATGGATATATTGGCTTCACATTCTCAATTATTATTATGATATCAGCTGCATAAAACGTCTTTTTAACAGCAGCGTTCAATCTTTGTCTAGTTATCAAGCTGCTATGATGCCCCATATAGGGTACCTTGTTGTACACGTCCATCTTTCTTAGGGGCGAGTTGGAGAGTGGGTCTTGTTGTTCTGACTACTTTATATCTCCTGACGAACTTATCTGTATAATTGTTATCAATCAGAGTTTGTGTCAACTTTCTTTCTTCTTCATCAAGTGTGTCTTCAGTGCATATTCGTTGGATTCTACTGAAGAGGCACCTAGCTGACTAAGGCTCTTTTGTACCGAACAGGGCAGAAACTGTGGTAATTAAGATACTGTCCTGTCCAGGTAGGTTTTCTATGTATAAATAGATCTTTTTATTGACCCATCAAGCCGTCGACTAAGCAATATGTCTAGGAAAGATAAAGAATTATCTTCCTCTTCTACAGACAGATGTAAGTGATATGCTATTCTGAACTTCATCCATTCGATTTAGAATCCACGTGTTACTACAGGATTCCGACCCAAGAGACTGAAGAATAGTCAAAGAGCTGCTGACCTGAAAGTCCAGGGTTTCATGCCTGGTGTGTTCGTAGGTGTGTAATACTGGTGAATACACCCTAAGTGGATGGAAATTAAAGTAGCCCAATAGTTTAACCAGGGTGCCAGAAAAATGGATTTAGACAAAGCAATAGGAAGAAGACGTAGTTTGTCTGATACACGTCTAATGAGTATTTGCACAACACACGCACACACACACATTTAGGATATTCTGATCACGCATACGCGTGAGTACTTCTCATACATACATTTACATATATAAGGTAACACATAATTCAATTTTTAGACTACATTGAACATTGAAGCCTTGGAAGAACTATGTTGCTTTTCAATGTGTTCAATTCATCTGCGTACACTCGCAGACGCACTGCTTTTACCTCTAATCTACGCCTCTGAATTCATAATATCATGTATATGAGGGAATTGCGTCTTTTAGATGCCTTTTATAATTTCAAGCGTTTGTGGAGGAGGCTTTTGCGTGTATATTAGGACGTTTTTGATATGGACTGCATTTTCAATATCAATATTTTATGGTCACAGCTTGATTCCACACCGTATTATTGGTACAAGTATGGAATTTTCAGCATGCGATTTCGGTAACCCGTATTTCGCAAGCCGAACATTCATATCTGGTGTGCGTCGGCAGGGGGTTGAACTCCGGACCATGTGCATGGTCGGCGAGATTGCCAACTGCTGTGCCACTGATGCACAACATTTCATTTCATTCCTTTCCAAGTAGAACACAGGGCTTCAAGCTGGAGGCTTGAAGTTTCAGTAGCAATCATTTTCCCTATGGTATAGAGTTACTAGCTTCACGCCAAACTTCTCCCCTATTGCGCGTTTACTACCTGCTAAACAAGGTTTCGGAGTGCATTCACCTGGAGTCATATCGGCGTCACGTGATTGGTTAATGAGTATTCCCTCACTGAATCATCGATGCATACGATATTATTGTTTATTATTATTTCCTCGCATTTCAGGGGGGAATATTGGGCATCAACAGCACATCTCAATTTCATCCTGTCCTTTGAAGTCTTCTTTAACTGGATGTTATTTTCTCCCCACCTCTTCCTCAAAGTGACGTCTAGTTCATCGTTTTCCACTGGGCTTCCAACAGAATATTTTGTTTGGCTCGCCTCGTGCGTGATATCACTCAAAGGTCTCTTCAGTATGTGTCCAGTCTACCTCCACTTCTTTCTGCATATTTTTTTGGCGATAGATTCTTGGTTGGTTCGCTGTTAGCCAGTGTTGCTTATATTCCTTGTCACTTCTGACCCCATCCATATGATCTTCAACATGAATGGAACGAAAGCATTTGTTGATAAAAGTCTAAAGCTCACTTGAAACTCCAATTCTCTGAACCATGTAGATTCACTGACTTGTTCTTTATGCTTAATGCAGTAGGTCTCCCAACTGATTTCAGGTAATTGAAAGTCTCTCAAACTTTGACATTTTCATCCTTTCCACCTGTAGTTGTAGCGGTGTTGCTCACTTCAGATAAGAGGTGAAAGAGGTGACCTCATTTGAATTTCTTCTGCTGATGATAACGACGGGTGCTTGTTGTAGTTCTTCTTCACTAGGTAGGTGTCTTCACCATCTCTGTGGTCTCCATGTTTACTTGAATTCATTTCTTCGCTGATTGTCCCAGTTTGACCAGTTTGTGAATTTCCGTTCACAGATCTTCGAGTATGTATGACAGTAGACGTAAGTCGTTCGCGAAGTTCGAATCTTTTAGAGTTTTATGGTCAGTTCAGGGTGTTTCTAAAACAAGCAACAAAGGCAACTAAAGCAGGATTTAGTGAATTCACCAAATTTTGGTAGAACTCGTCAGCTGAATACTCTACATACACGGATATATATACTTATTGAATTTACATTGGGAGATATAAGACTGATAAGCAAATAAACTACATTGAATTAGTCATGCAAAAAGACATGTGCGAATGTTTTTCCGGGTCATATTCAAAAAGATAAGGAGAGAGGGAGTATGAGAGGTTGAAATTAAGATAAAATGCATTACGCTTCAATTACGTCACTTAGATAAACAATTAGTAATCGGGAAAAAAAATTAAATATATTAGGAATTACAAACTGGGTTATAATAATAACAATAATAACAGTTAATAAGTAAAACGTATTACTATGGTAGATTCAGAGTGACGATCATTTCCTTTTCTACACAGAAAACTGGCTTATAAACTGGAGTTAGTTGCACAAGCCTCCTCAATTGCAAGCATCTTCTTGTTTCTTTGTCTCTCTGCTGACAATAACAGTGTGAATGACTTGACAGCGTCGTTATCATGTTCGTAGTCCACAAGGTGCTTTGTTATTGAACTTTTAGGCACTTTGACTTCAGGTGTTTTCAACCACCTTCGCGAATTCTCCATCATGTTTCTGCTGTCTCACTCTTCACCCTACCCCGAATGATCCAGTCCACGGCAAACAAGAATATTATCAACGTGCATATACCAGTTTACTTGCACTTGTGGAGCTGAGTACATCGGCCGTACCATGCGCCGACTTGGAAAACGCGCTCGCGAACACTACCCAGCCTGGCTAGTAAAAGGAGTCCAAAAACGTGTATACAGTTCAGTGACAGAGCATCTGGTCAACTCAGGACATTCAGCGCCTTCAAAGTAATATACAAGATTCAATCAAAGCTATCAAAGGGAGTGAAATCAAGACATCTGGGCATAGCTGAGGCGTTAGCTATCCAAAAACTCAAACCCACTCTTTGTATCCAAAAGAAATACGTCCAACCCCTGTCCCTGCCATGGCCATCATAAACAGCCTAGATGATGACTTCATCGAAAAGAAAATTTTCTTCGCTGCAACTGTCTTTTTATTCCCTAGAATATTATCTGTGATAATTAGTGTCAGTATTCATAGTTAATTCGTAATTTGATTTTCTAAACTGAAAACTGCTTAATTTCAATTGTCTATCAACGCAATTGATTCACATTGCGATACTGAAACAGTTTAGACAAATA